GTCCTTTAGAGCTACGGCATAAAGCAGAGACCATAGGCAGGTCTCTGGAGCACCCAGAGAATCCAGAGGCAGGGGCACCCTCTCCACCCACCTGGCCCCCCTCCACCTTCAACTCCCACCCTCTTGCCCTGCAAAATCAACCTTGGGTGCCATGGATCGTGGTCAAATGCAGGCAATAGGGATTGGGGCTGCATAGATCTGGCTGCATCCCAGAGCAGCCAGTTTCCATGCTGGGGGGAGCAGGGGCAGGGGTGGGCATTGGAGTGGGGCAGGGGTGAGGAGTGGTGTAGTGTAGTACTCCTGCAGGAGAGACCAGATACTAGTCATAGAAAGCTTGGTGTCTACACATGACACTGAAGCAGTTTGCAAAGAACTGGTTCAAAATAATAGGTAATTATGCAGCTATACTTCCATACTATTCTGAACTGACAGATGCTTGCAGCTCAAACCACATTGAAAATAGTAGAAGTGTTATGTGGGTCCACACCTTAACTGTTACCCCTGCCTGCTAAATTACTGTAAATTTAACCCTGCATAAAATAGATTTGCACTTGTATCACACAGAAGTAAGGAAGAGGTAAGTTACACCCTCTGGTCGCTTATCAACAGTGCCTTTTCATAACAGCGCAGAGGTTGGTCCAATGAATCAGCATTTCCAATGACATAAAAGAGGTCACTTTCTGGGATCTGGTGAAGAGTTCTTCTTTTCCTGGGCCTAGGAAAGAGATTGGAAGTCAATAGAGTATCTGTTCATTTCCAGTTTTCTTTGCCAGGCTCTTGAGGGCTACATGAGTTCACAGATTTCTGTCCTGATTTCATCTCACCCCTTGGGATGCCTTTAAAGATCAGCTACTTCTGACAGAGGGTCCCTCAGCTCAGCACTGAGTCTATTTGATACCTTTGCCTTTTTGACCCTTCGCGACTGTCTTTCATATTAGTAGGCACAAGTCCAATGGCAAATGACACACTGGTGGTTTCTGTTCTTGTAAACACTCTGGAAGTGCAGTCATTCTGGTCTCTGCTTATCTTGTCATTTTGAACAGTGCTCTGCCCAGGTGTGCTGAACGTCCTGTTCCCAGCTTACAATATGGAGGTGAACTCAGGTGTCTGGAATCATGATCCTTCAATTTAAATCATCCTTTACACTGGAAATTCACCTCTTCCAATTAACCTTAAATATACACTTTGGGGTGTTTGTTTTCTAAGTATGTGTTATGCAAATATATGTTAACAACCCAATCTATATAACAGAATATTTCCTAGAATTTTTCTCTTACTCCATCCCATGATTTGCTATATATCTAGTTATATTGCAGAGTATAGACTTGCTAATTTTAGCAACATGACTCTGTAACTTAGTTTCAAACCTCATGAAATTAGAACACCTGGAAGGAGAAGATACTTTCCCTCCGGCTCTATTGTCTTCTCAATGTCATTTATTTCATTTATTTATTTCAAGAGTAATTTCACTTTCAAGCCGCTTAGAAGAGAAAACATACATTCCATCAATAACAAAGATGAATTAGCCCCATTTTCCTAGCCTGTAGGAAAAGCCTTAAGTAATTTAATATAAAATAATACTTTCTAAGTGTTAGACCCTTTTGATTGAATGTAAAGATCATTTCTTTCTGTTCTGTAAACTTTCAAAGCATGGTTTGCAAAATATATAAACTAATACCTTTCAATTGAGTATTAGTTGTAAAACTAATCATTTAATAGAGTTCATAGATTTCATAGACATTAGGGCTAGAAGGGACCTCATGAGATCATCGGGTCCAGCCCCCTGCCCAAACATCAGGAAGTCAGCTACAGCCTCACTAAGGCCAAGTAAAGCAGGAGGATGACATCTTGGATCTTGCCTGAGATACATCAGTAGATGTAAGCTAGGATTTTATTTGCTTTGCTGGCTGCAGCATTGCATTGGTGGTGCATATTCATCTTGTGGTCAATCATGACCCCCAAGTCTCTTTCAGTCATGGTGCTAGTGAATGTAGTACAGCTGAGCCTACAGGTATGATGTGGGTTCTTTCTCCTGAGGTGGAGCACCTTGCATTTCTCTAAGTTGAATGTCAGCAGGTTTTGGTCTGCCCACCTTGCAAGCCTGTCCAGGTAAGCCTGAATCCCCAGCCTATCCTCTAGAGTGACTGCGCTTCCCAACAATTTGGTGTCATCAGCAAAATTAGCCAGTCTGTTTCTGACACCTGAATCCAGATCATTTATGAATATATTAAAGAGTACTGATCTGAGAACTGAACCCTGAGAGATGCCACTGGTCACCATGCACCATGTTGACTAAGTTTCATCAATCATCTCTCTGGGTCTAACCACGGAGCCAGTTCCCCAGCCGTCACACTGTAAGGTTATCGAGGCCACAGCTCCTCAATTTTACCATGAGGACATCATGGGAGACCAAGACAAAGGCTTTTTTGAAATCCAAGTAAATGACATCAGCCTCTCCTCCCCTGTCCAGGTGACACATCAACTGGTCATAGAAGGAAATGAGGTTGGTTAGGCATAACCTACCCTTAACAAAGTCATGTTGGCTATCTCTCAGAACGATGTCTTCTGTTAGCCTGTTGTTGATGGATTCTTTAATATTTTTTTCCAAGATCTTTCCAGGGATTGAGGTCAAACTGATTGGCCTGTAATTCCCTGGGCCTTCCTTCCTTCCCTTCTTGAAGATAGGCACCATGTTGGCCCTCTTCCAATCTTCAGGAACCTCTCTCGAACACCACAAGTTCTTAAATATCTTTGCCATTGGTTGTGCTGTGATGTCAGCCCACCCTTTTAGTACTCTTGGGTGCATTCTGTCCAGACCCACTGATTTGTGGATGTCCAGCATTTCAAGGTGCTCCCTCACAAGGTCTTCACCAGTTGTAGGTATATGGTCGCCCTTACCCTGGTAATCCTGTGTCCTGTCAAGCAGGGTGATCCCATTGGGCTGGTGGAAAACTGATGCAAAGTAATCATTGAGGAGATTAGCTTTTTCCTGGGTGTTGGTTGTCAGCTGTTCCATTTGGCTCAGCAGGGGTCCAATGTTGCCCTTATGTTTCTTTTGACTTCCCACCTATCTGAAGAAGGACTTTTTATTGTCCTAGGTTCCCATAGCCAGTTTGAGCTCACTTTCAGCCTTGGCTTTTCTGGTCCACTCCCAACAGGTGCAGGCCAGTGATACATAATCCTCCTTAGAAGTATTTCCTGTCTTCCAACCCTTATAAGCTTCTCTTTTAAGGTTAAGGAGGTCCATGAGTTCCCTATTGAGCCAAGTGGGCCCCCAGCCCTTTTACTACCTTTCCTATGAACTGGAATGGACTTCCCTTGTGCTTTTAGGATTGCATACTTAAGGAGCAGCCACTCATCATGGACTCGCCTCCCTATCAGATCGTGATATCTGACCAACCACCTGAGCTTGTGAAAGTCAGCTTTCCTAAAGTCAAGGATTTCTGCATTGCTGACTGATTTGCCAGCTTTGTGATGGATAGAGAAAGTGATCAACTCATTAAGTGATCATTAAGTATCTCAGGCAGATATCTGATGTTAAGTTGATTATCTCCCTTTATGGTTTAGTCCTTTTAAACCATGAATAATCTTTCTGTGAGTTGTTGAATTTTTAATAGAATGTAATGGTTACTTGTTTCCTTGCCACAAAATTCTGGAGGATGGTTTTAAAAGTATGGAAACCAATTAATTCTCAATTTTAGAGAAATGTCTAAAACATTCTATTAAATATCTCTGGAGCAATTATTTCCACATCTGTTAAACTCTACAGGATATTTCTGTGAGGGAAGCACCTTGGATTGTGGACTATAACAGAGAGACACTCCATTTATATTGGGCAAGACTCAAATTAAGCCACTATTTTAAACATGGTGGGTTCCAACTAAACTGGTTCCTAATATGGATGGATTGATTGGTGTAATGGGGCCAAATCATGTTGTCAACACTTGTGTTTTAGTGCAAGAAAAGCTTCTGGCTCAGCATAGCACAAGGAGTACTTTTTATGTCATTTGTATTTTCAGTGGTTAGGAGAGGGGGATTAAAATTTGACCCTGCCCGTGTTAGAAACTTGCTCATCTGAAACTGCCTTAAAAACTGGCCATGATTCTCCTGAGTATCCTGAGTTTGAATCATGAAAGTACTGAAGAGACTTAACATTGAGCCTATGAATTTTCATCAATTCCTATGGAACTACTCACGCTTAAAAATAAGACCCAGCATAAATGCTCTGTACAATCAAAGCCAGAGTGGCCAATATTTTGCATGATTAAGCCTTGAAGCACTCAAGAGTCTGGGCCTCAGTTCAGAAAGATGGTAAACAACATAACAATGTGTATAAGTAGTGCCCCAGAGTTCAGTGAGGAAAACTAATGTGTTTAAAAATAGCGCATGCTTAAGCATCTTCCTGAGTAAGGGTCACAGTATGAAGTCATGCTTTCCTTTGTGTAATGCTGTATCAGGAAAGTCTGCAAATACATATATTTGTTTATTCATCCCTCCATGGCAGGATTAAAACTATTCTGTGGTTATGCACTTCAACCTTAGGCATTGGTTAATGTCTTTTTTTTATATTAAAGACCACATGTTATTATCCAGATCAGATAAGCAAGTAAACTCTTTACATGTTTTCAAATGTTTCTCTCATAGACCTGAAAGAAAATCTGAACAGCCAATGTGCGAAGAGCATGAAGATGAGAAAATTAATATCTATTGTTTAAACTGTGAAATGCCTACATGCTCTCTGTGCAAAGTTTTTGGTGCTCATAAAGACTGTCAAGTAGCTCCTCTCACAAACGTTTACCAACGACAAAAGGTAAATACTTCTTTGTTTCTAATCAGGTCTTAAAGGCACACCATCAAGATGAAATCTAGCTAATTTTAATGAAATAAGTTAAAAATTCTTCTTCCCATGAGTTGCCTATTGTGGCAGGGCACTGTGTGTGCCTGCCACTTTAAGGGCCTGGAGCTGGCAGGCACCAGGTACCTGATGAGGGCAGGCATTTTTAATCAAGGGGCGGCT